TTTTTTTTTTTTTTTTTTTTTTTTTTTTTTGTACGTTAGATGTTGTCTTATTTTTTGACAATTTGTAAAAAAAGAGGGGGGAAAAAAACATATGTGTTTGTGTTTTATTTTTTTTTTTTGCCTCCAAATAATGATAAAATGTACAATTAACTTTTTGCTTACTTCTCAACAAAGCTAATTCGAGCGACTTTTTTTTTTTTTTTTTTTTTTTCCCGAGTGTATATGCGTGAGAGGTGTAAGCAGATTAAGGAGAAGAACGAGAAGAAATTATACGCGCCAACTGATTCGAACGTGTTTGCCCAAAATAAAGACACATGTATAAACAACACAAAACACACAAGTGCGTACGAACCATACACACTCACACACACGCATGTTGTACCTGTGTACGTTCCGCTAAAAATCAGGATGGACGATGAAGCGATAAATTTCAAAATTTGCAACTTAGTTAACCAGAAAAAAGAACAAGCAAAGGACACGCACCAACACTTCCTTACACAAAACCAACCACACAAGGAGAACTTTTGTGAAAAAATTCATCAAGCCCACCAGCCAGTTCATCACCAAGAAGAATATTTCTTGGGCCAGGAAAAAAAAACCGACGTGTACCTTGCCATGCTTAAACCCAATAACAAGAGGGAGAAAAGTCCAACCTCTAAAAAGGATCATTCTGTAGGTACAAGTGGTGGTGCTTCTGGAAGTGCCGCGGTTGGGCTTCAACCGGAAGAGGTACCTTTCGGGAAGGAACCCCTCGGGGAAGTCGACAATGCAAGGAGGGAAGACACAGCCCAGGAGGGAGACCTCCTCGCGGAGAACAGTACACAAAAAAACGAAAGTCAACCGGGGGGTCTCCCGCATGATGGCCCCCAATTTTGCGACATGCAAAAATGCAGCTCTGCAAACTGTCCCCCGCACAGTTGCAACGAACCGTGGCGGTGCATACAAAGCCCCATGACGGAGAAACATCCCTGTGGAGAAAAAGGAAAAAAAAACAAAAAGGGAACCAACGTAAATTATATAGTACACTACAACAGATATAAACCTATCAGGGTACCTCCCACATTTAACAAAAATAAAAGTAACCCCCCAGTGGTAAAAAAAAATAAAAATCAATATATAAATTGTAATTTCAGGTACTATGTGAAGGAAAAAAATTACTTAACACAAAGCGCAGATGAAAATATAAAATGGGAGCAGATCGAGAAAGTGGACTACATTGTATTTGACAATACAACATTAGCATGTCCTATATGTTTGGAGGACAAAATAATTTCACCCAGAATTACCAAATGTAGACATATATTTTGTTTTTTTTGCATTTTAAAATATTTTGTTGATGAAAAAAAAAAAACGTGGAAAAAATGTCCCATCTGTTTTGAAATAATAAATGAAAATGACCTAAGAGTAGTGAAATTTCATTACGTAAAAAATTATAACATTAACGACAATATTAATATGTGTCTTCTCTACACAGAGGATAAAAAAATTCACTTAAAATCGGACAGACTATATTTCAATAACAGCTTTAAAGTAACAAATAAAAATTTTGTTAAAAATAATAAAGCAGGCGATTATAAATATTTTGTTAATATAGATTATATGAATAAAAATTTAAGTACCTTTAGTCAAAATCACACAAAAAAAATTTCAAAATTAAACCTCAATTTGGGCATTCAATTTTCAAAACTTTTTTACCTGTACAATCCACTCTCCATATGGATAAAAGACCTGAACATTTTTAATTTCATTCTCACGAATAAGAACATGCACTTGTTCGCATCAGACCCCATTGTCATTCAGAAGGCAATAGAAAATATTAAGTTAAAAATTAGCGAGTATTTAAACATCCCCATTGAAAGGATGAATCCTGAACTGAACGTAGACGAGCCCTCCTTTGACTCCTTTTACCTTTATGATAATTTGGCCCACGACGTTTACGTAAGTTTTTTTTTTTTTTTTTACTCACCATATTGGAACGGTCAAAAGGGTGAAGTCTTTTGTTGGGTTGCCACGGAAAAAGTTACTCACAAATAATATCCATTCTTTTCTTTTTTTTTCTCCTACACAGGACAGCATAGAACAAATAAAAAATGAAATGAAAATTGAAACGGAGTTGGCCAAGAATCAGAAATCGCCTGCGGATGAGAAATGTGCACTCGATGCAGAGAAGCCCACCGATGAAGGTTCCCGGGATTTGAAGCATTCGAATCGTTCGTACAAAAAAAAAAAAAAATTTTCATATATGTGTACGCTTGTAAAGGAAGAAGTAATGTGCAATTTGGTGGGAGCCCATTACACTACCCTCTCCCCTGCCATCTATGCATATACCATGCGAAATGTATTTATTTGTTTGTTAATTTTGTTTTTCCCACTCCCGCAGAGACATACTTCTACCAATGTATAGATGGGCAATGCATATTTCTGGACCCCTTCATTTTGAAGTACTCCCTCCCTAAATGCTTAACGCGCAAATGCATAACGTGCAAATGCGACATGTGCACATGTGTAGTGCATGCTGTATCCGTGCTCGCCGTACAACCGCTTGCATGTGATGGCGCATGTTTTAATAGCTAGGGTTAACACTCACGGACATGCATCCTTCCCCACCGTCCGCTCAGCTTACTCTTTTTCGAGTACGACAACTATATGAACAGGATGCCCAAGTTTCTCTGCAACAGGCAAATCACCTACATTGAAGCCTTTGAGCTGGATGAAAAAATAAGAAAAAGGTAGCACAAATGGATGTAGTAAAAAAGTACATGCGTGAAGTCCTTTTTTTTTTTTTTTTTTTTTTTTTTTTCCACTTTTTAACACATTTTTCTGTCTGTTGTTCCATCAGGCACGCCATTTTGTCCCACCTGCCACTCGGCGTTAACGTCCTGTTCGTGTCGTTGAACATAGGTTAGTTCACGAGGCCCATTTCTACACACCGCGCTTTTGTGAAGCTTCCCCTTTTTCCCCACACGTGTGTGTACAAACTGCACATTTTGTTCTTCCCTGCACAGATGATCTCCTATCGGAAAGGACCAAAAGGCATTTTGTGGTAGGCATAAGGAAGAAGCAGCGAAAGGGAAAATGTCACTTTTTTTGTTTATATATATATTTTTTCATTTCCTTTTTTCAATTTATACTTACACAACACAGAAGGAAATATCTGAGAGGAAGAAGAAGCACCACGCAATTTTGAGAAAAAAAATGGAAGAGGAAAAATATTTTAAACTATTAGCCGTAATAAACGAAAATGGAAAAGAGAAAAAAAAAGAAAATGCATCTCGATCTTTACACCTTCCAAATCGCACCCACCTCACTTTACACCCCTTATGAAAACTTCGTAGGAAGAAGAAATAGACAGAAAGGAGAAGCGCTACTGGAATTTGCCCAACAATAGGATAAACATACAGAGCGACACCATCAACATAAGCTCGAGCATTTTAAGGTAGCCTAGCCACACTGATGGGGGAAAAAACATTCGAATGTGCTTATATAAACACGCCATACCACATTTACACAATTAAATACACGCATGCGCGAATACGAATGGACATCTGCCGGTGTTTACGCGCGTATTTTCAATATGATTAACGTTTTGCATAACTGTCTTTTTTTTTTTTTTTTTCCCCTTGATGACTCCACCTTCGGCAGGTATGGAAACTTGTTGGACGAAGAAAAATATCTTCACGGGGAACTGGACGAGGACTGGGTGGTAAAGGAAAACGAACATGCGTTTGTGGAGCAGCTTTTTGAGAATCTAAATTGGGATGACCACCCGGTGGAGGCAAAAAATGAGCTAAGAAGTGGACCAAATGGCCTAACGGGTAAACCGCATGGCCTAAAGGGTAGATCGAATGGGCCAAAAGGGGGACAAAAATGTGGGCCAAAAAATTCCCCCCCCGTAAACTGGGACAACACCGAATTGGTCAACGCAGCCGATCCAAACGTCTGTCACATTCCAAGGAGAAGTTTTCTTGAAATAGCTAAACAGAAAAGCGACGCGGGTGATATTAAATCAGACATGGGGAAAAAAAAGGAAGAAAATTTGTCCATTGGTTCAGGCTCGGTTCATGTTAATTTGATGGATTTAATAAACACCAAAACGGTTAAAAAGAAGAAGAGAAAATAGGGCCTTTTTTTTT